TCATCAACCGTAGGACCGAGCTCCAGCCAAGGGTGGCTGCTCTGGCATTGGAGCCACGATGCCGCTCCCGGGTTGCATGTCAGCGGGCTTCAGTCTAAGAAGGGTTTTGGGGTTGCCCAGAGACTCCAATATCCCTTAATTAAGGAATATACCTTAAATTATAGTAGGATCCCCAATATGATTTAAAGGTATATTCCTTAATTAAGGGATATTGCAGTCACTGGGTAAGAAGGGTTTTGGGGTTGAGGGCTAGGTGGGGGTTCAACGTCTGTTGAAACCCGGAGAAATGTCAGCACTGTCTCTGTCGGAGTTCGTAGACCAGGTGAAGCAGTTCGAGTGGTTCTGGCAGGGTTGAACCAGACTCTCCAGCGCCGCAAGCTCGAAACAGACCCAGTTTTTAATGTGTGAATCAAGCGTGTCTGCATGCGGCTGGACTCGAAGTGGGAATGTTCGTGGAAGCTCACTTAGCCTGGAAGGCTGGAATAATTTCAACAAATAGCACTGGTATTCCCTAGGCTTCCATTTAAATAAGAGTACACTTTCGCAAAAGCCCAACACCCTTCCATAGAAATTAAGTCCGCCTATACTGACTTGAGAACCTCCTAAACCCTGAAACCCTAAACCCCTAAACCCCTACGCCCGAGACCCCAAAACCCCTAAACACCTAAGCCCTAGACCCTAAACCCCTAAACCCTCAACCCCACAAAACCCTACAGCCCTTCAGAGTCCTAGAGCCCTGCATAGCCAAAGCTCCTCCCCCCCCCACCCCCACCTCCTGTAATCCCTAAACCCTAAATCCCTAAACCCCTAAACCCCTAAACCCTAAACCCTAAACCGTGGCCCCCCTGCCCCCCTGAAGTTCGAAGCCCTTAGGTCATCGTCGCCTTGGACCGGACCCGGTGGCTTGCAGGCTCGTCGTCGCCCGATTTAGGGTTTCGGGGTCGGGTTTCGGAGGTTGAGCTTTGGGATTCGGAGTTTTGAAATTATGCAGGCAGTCAGCAGACAATCTGAGAGAGAACGACGTCTTGGATCCTCACCGGGTTTAGGGTTTAGTCAGGGTTCAGGGCAGCCAGCAGATTTGGAGGCTTGCAGTTCGAACAGCGACGAGACCGGCCAGCTCTACAATAATTTCCTGAGGGTACAGGCAAGCTATTGGAGACTCCATAAGCCCCCCTTATCTGGGCCAACACATGTCGCCTGGCTCCCGAGTGTCTCCAGGGACCTAACAAGGAATGAACTGGAGGCTTGTATGTGGGATCGAGGGCGGGGGTTGAGGGTTTTGGCGATTTAGGTTTGACAGGGTCAGTGGTTCAGAGATTAGTGATGGGATCTCGTGTTGTCGGGCTCCTCGGTTTCAGGGTTCAGGATTTGGGTTTAGGGTTCTGCAGCGACGGCTATTGCTTCGGATGAAATTCTGAGGGGAGTCCGCCTAGGGGTCGAGTGACGGACAGCGAAACTGCTCGGAGCAAAGTGTTATGCATGTGCGTAGTTGTCAAAATTAGGGTCCCTTTTTGGGTACCCTAAGGTGCCGTATTATATTAAGAATCCAAACAGGGACCCTAGTTTTGACAACCACCCATGTATAGAAGGTATCTACGCTCCTGCACTAAATGCGAAGAACTTACACATGAAGAGCTGGTTCAATTTGTCAAGTGGTTGTAGTGCCTCATCATACAGAATGACCTGACTTTGCAGGACTTGGATCTTCCACTTAACGGACCTGCCGCCGAACTTCCAGGCATGAGTATTGGCTTTAGGATTTTACGGTTAAGCGTTTTGGGGTTTGGGGTTTAGGGTTTGAGGGTTTTAGGGTTCAGGGTAGGGGTAGTTCTCCAAATTACGGTCCCTTTTGGGGACCGAAGAAAGGCCCCAAATTCGAGAACAACCCATGTAGGGGTAAGAACAACCAGTAAGCAATAGTTGTCTTGTATGGTCCCTATAGACTGCATGGTATAAGTACCAAAAAAGCCTCTTAGCTTACTGCTAAGCTGCGGCCTGTTTACGAGCCTTCCACAGGCCACGGCAGTCTTACAACAAGGAACCCGGGGACCCAGCTTTAGGAAGTTAATTTTTGAAAGAGACTGTCGCCAGGAAGCCTTTATTGATGAGAGATGTCAAGGTTCGTACTGGAGCCCAAAGCGAGTGGCCAAGCCCGTTTTGTACGGAGTTGGATCACGAACATTGTGGGAGTTTGCGAATCGTAGCCTGCGCTCGAGATCGTGTTTTACTGCAACTGTGGAGACCATGGTATTCTAACTTAGCATACTGTACTTGTACCATTTGTACCAGGTTTGAGGAGGTTGGCAGTGGCTGAAATCGCTACATGCGATGCAATCCCTCGTCCGGTTGCGCGGTCAATCCTAGAGTGGGTTTCGGACATGGCTACAACCTGTGATGTTTGCAGGGCGGGAGCCGAAGATCGCGCCCATGTCGAAGAACCCACCTGGCGTTGGCATCAAGCGAAACTCAGCGGCACAATCCAGGTGTCCTTTTTATTTGAAGGTTCCTGCGTGCCTGCCAGCGACCTCCGAAAGTGTTTATTGTCATTTGAGGGTCCGGTTACTCTTCTTGGGAAGTTCAGGCATGTTTTCCAAAGCGTCAAGGTTTGGAATGCCGATGGATGGTAGTCTGCACCTGCATGATACAACTTCAAGCCCTCCCAGAGGTGAAAGTTGGAAGGAATTGGAGCGGTGTTGAGTCCCGTCGTTTTCGCCGGGAAACAGTGAGAGCGTCATGGCTTTCGGTCCCAGAAGTTGTTGAAGGTCCCTCAGATCATGACACAGACCTGTAACTTCGGTGGCCCCAAGGTTTAGCCATGAGATAACCCCATGCGAATCCTGATGACAGAAGGGTCCGGAGTCCGCATTTAGCGAGTTGCCAGCACCTCCTCAATCCAACATCTCGCAAGCCTTGTGGCAAGGAGTCGGGAAAGTCGAGCCGAAAGAGGCGAGGAAAATGTTTGTCCGGTGTGGTCAGTTGTTTGGATCACTAGTTTCGATATTCATACAAGTAGGTGGTAGAGGCTTCAAGCCGTCGCAGCAAGATCAGCAAGGTCTGACACATGTGGCTTGATCAGCGCTTGGACCCTTCTGAGGCAACTTGTGAACTGTCAGGGCAGGTATTCCGCCATGGCATGTCCCACACGACACCAGCTAGGATGCTTCCAGGACTTCAGAGGTCAGTAAGACTTTTTTTGGTGTGAGATGCAGATCGCTGCTTTGCCAAGCAAACGTTCGTCTTGCATTTGTCCCAACAAGACCACTGAGGTGAACAGTTGGACGGGGGAGGAGACGCTTGTAAAATTCCGGCGCACAGTACGTAGAGTAGCTTTCCGGTTGGACAGAGATAATACTTCCATCGCAGAGGGAAATGGGAATCATCTAGGGCAGAACAGTCCGTTATGACACCCGAGCCGTGCCATTTAACACACCCATTCGGAGTCGTTTGCTCACACCCCACCATGCTCATTCCGATTTTTTTCCTACACAACGACTTTTCTCTGTGGCGCCACGATACATGAAAGAATGTAGTGTAACTTGGTAAAGAATAATATCGTACTGGAAGGCTGCTCCTGCGGGACCAGATCCTCAGGGGCGAACAACAGCAGCGTGGCGACTGAGAGGGGGAAGGAGGTTGTTTAGCGCTTCCTGCCCGAGGACGGTAGCTTAGTCATTCCTTGTTTCGTCTTGTTGCTGAAAGGGGTCTGATCCTGACGTGAAGGCACATCCTTCTGGACTTGAGCTGGATCCTAATGATTCCTAGAAGGCTGTTGGCGGCACCAGGAACTGACAACAGCGAAAGACAGGAGTTTTCGGTGTTAGGGAGGGGCCTCGGGGGATGGTGGAGTCTCTCGGCTTCTCCGTTCGAGCTTCAGACCGTGTTACTGCTGATACTATAAAGGGCCTTAACAATTACCTATAGTATTTTCAAAGATACTTATTATGACCATACTATAATGGGCCCCGAAACCCGATTCTAACTATTAAGGCCCCTATTTTGAACTATGACAAGTTTAGACGTGCAGTGTCCCTGATTCTTGGGACACGTCTAAATTTCACATTCACATCCATCTCAACAACCAAGCCCAGAAGACTTGCGACGAATCGGGATCTGGGGTGCGGTTTCGACTTGTGAAAACCTCAACACCAGATTCCGTACGAAGTGCAATGCTGAAAGGGTCGAAGTGGACTGGAAGGCGCAAACGCCCGTAAGTCTGTAGAAACATCAAAATGCAATCATGGCTCAAAGGCATCACTCAGACAAATCTTTCGGGACCGAGGAATTAGCGATTGGGCCCAGGGTAAGACTATGCTGTTCCTCCTCCTCCTGCTCTCTGCAGCAATTGCTCCTCCACCTCCTGCTGCTACTACTACTACTACTACTACCACTACCAGTACCGCTACCGCTACCACTACGACCACCACCACCACCACCACCACCACCACCACGACCACGACCACGACCACTACCACTACTACCGCTACTACTGCTACTACCTCTACTACTGCTACTACTGCTACTACTCCTACTCTACTCCTACTCTACTCCTACTCCCTACTACCTACTCCTCCTCGTCCTCCTCCCACTCCTACTCCTACTCCTCCTGCTCCTGCGCCTACACCACTTCCGGCTCCTACTCCTGCTCCTAGTTCCATGCCCACTCCTACTCCACTCATTTTCCTGCTCCTACCGCTGCCCCTACCTGCTACTGCTACCCCTGCTACTACTCCCACTTCCACCGCTACCTACGCACTACTACTCGCATGTGGTAGCGGATCTTGAGCTGCCAGGTAATGCTGAGGAATTTGCCCAACAATTACACGAGAGCGCCCCGGCTGCACTCTAAAGTGTAGTACAGTTGTTCCTTCAAGGGCGACAGTAACGAGTTCCACGAGTTCTATAAGTGTTCTGCGAGGGTTTAGGGTTCAAGGAGACTTCAATCAGAAACTCCATCAGCCCCTCTCCGAAGCAACATTCTCCTCTTGCTTCTCAGAGAGGACATGCTCTTGGAGCTGATTGACAGCATGGGCTTCCGTGGACAATATGCAGCTTGGAAGCGAGCAGGAGGCAAGCCAAAGAAAGGTTCGGGCGGTTTGCAGAGAGTCCGGGTCGTGATGTCGGCACCCAGCGTGTAGAACTCGCGTGATGGCAATCGATTCTTGACTCTTGACTAAACGCAACATGCAATCTAGTAGGTCTTACCCAGGACCCCGAACCAAGCATCATATCCTGCCAACTCAGGATTTCTTGTACCTCCCCATTGATTTCCAGACCCATGCCTGCCTGGGCTATGCGTTCGTCAATTTGGTGGATCCAGGCTCGCAGCGTTGGCTCGTCGTGCAAAATGCAGCAGGTCCTGATGAGGTGGACATCAGTGCAAGAACAACGGGTTCTCCTGCCCCCAACCTTGACATCTGCACAGCACCTGCCCGAGCAGGTGTGGTGCCCTCATTTTGGAGGTCGTTTGATGGCTTCAGCAACTGGAGCCTGCCCAGCAAGAAGGCGCAGACACAAGCCCGAAACCGTTGAGCTGCAAGCCTACTGCTCACATGAAAGAGTGGACCAGTGATGCAGGTTTGCTACATCAGCTGGAGCGGTCCTCATCAAGGCACGACTGTCTGAACGCTTGCTTAGGAGTACGACATTCCTAATTCTGCGGCGCAGAACGATGAGGGTCATGACGATGGTGATGGCGATGGCGATGATCATGATGATGGAGATGTTGATAATGATGATGAGACAGGTGGGAATGATGAGAATGGTTACGAGATGATGATGATGATCATGATGATGATCACTACAGCCATGACCAGGCCTTAACCGTCGCTCTTCTCATGAGCAGCTGCTAAAGTTCCATTTAGAATAGTACTGGCATGAAGAGCAGCCGCGGCTATTGATGGAAAGACTCCAGATGCCATCAGTGGTCTGACAACCTTCGTAGTCATCGTCACGTTTTTTCCTTTTGTCTATATCCAGGCTTTCTCATCTCTTGCCTAGCAGTAGGCTTATGAGCCGGTACTTAGAAGCTACCACCGTGTTGCAAGCGTCAGCATGACGGCTGGCAGTCATCTCAGTGATAGTGATCTTCGCTTTCTTTTGATGACTCACTTCGTGTACGCACACTGTTAGAGTCCATGTTGAGCACAACAACCTGCCATGATAACCATCGTAACAGATTGTAACCACGACTGACGACACATGGGAATTTCCGAAAACAAGCGGTACCTTATTTTGGGATCCTTATAATAAGGATCCTACTATCTAGGGTACTAAATGAGGGTCCTAAATGAGGGTCCCCTATTTCCGGCAACTCCCAGCCCTTCACCCGTCGGAAGTCGGAAGCTTCAAGTTTGATGCGGCAGGGCTCGAAGCACACATTGAGCGCTACCGCAATAGCCCAGCTTCTTGGCAAGATCATGTTCTTCCTTGGTCATTCCCTTTTCACCGATCCGAGTCCTTGGTGTGTTGTTTGCTTCAATTGCTCTTGCAGCGAAGCGCGGGCGAGAGGCAATCGGGAAGCCTGACCATGGGGTCGTCACACCCCCTTCTTCCCAGAGACTCCAATATCCCTTAATTAAGGAATATACCTTAAATCATATTAGGGAGCCTACCATAATTTAAGGAATCTTCCTTAATTAAGGGATATTGGAGTCTCTGGGTTCAGAAAGTTCTGACTCGTTCTCCAGCAACGTAGAGTGCGTTTGTGCAGAGTGACTCTTGTCAAGGTCATGCATGGCGAAGTGGGGGCCTCACAGATTCTGCGGAAGAGTCTTACAAGAGCTTGGCAGGCGCTGTCTCTTCAAAGTACTCCCCGGACAAACAAAGACCTAACCCTTGAACCCTACAAGAGCTCAGGGTTTAGGGTACGATTCCGGTATGTTCTCAGTTTCAGACATGCACTTCCCTCACGAGCGGCCGTTGCAACGACAAGCAGCGAGCTGATGCGGAGGCTGCAAGGTCCTTCGGCACCTCGATCCCGTCGCATCCATTTTTGTCCACCCCTGTTTAATTGAAGACACTGTCACAGGGTTACCCAGGTGCTGCATCTTGCCAGCTATGCTACTTGCCGAGTGAATTCGGTTCGGCGTAGGATGTACCTTCGGCTTGAGCTCGGGTATGGAGGGATTTGATTACATCCACTTCATCACCCCTAAACCCTAAACCCTAAACCCTAAACCCCTAAACCCTAAACCCTAAACCGTAGCACAAGATCGAGGAGCCTACTCAGCTAATGGTCGCCTGAAGTCTCGAATCTACCGCGGCAGCCACGCGAAGTTTCAGGGCCAAAGACATGGTCGATGTATCTCCCCAGAGACTCCAATATCCCTTAATTAAGGAATATACCTTTAAATCATATCAGGGATCCTACTATAATTTAAGGTATATTCCTAGGGATATTCGAGTCTCTGGGTCCTTCTCCTGATGAGGTCGGCGACGAATGTAAGCCTCTCATCTTCCGAGACGCTGGGCTGATTGCATGTTGAGGGTGACAGGGCGGGCACGTGCCAGTGAAGGGGCTTGGTACTTTGCATTCTGTAACAGATTATCTATGAAAGGTGTACAACCCCGACAAAGCTCGTCTTGCTGAATTGCAGATTGGACAGGCTTCGGTTTTTCATCTTGCAAAGACCAGACTGACAAGACCACTGTCCCGCGACTGATTCCACTCAGGAGGGAGTGCGGGTGGAATTTCCGGTGCCTACAAAGTCCATCCGACCTCCCCGTGCCACTGGGCAGTGACAGCCTTCATGCGGGGAGATCCCCCACACTAGGGCTTAGGAGTTTAGGGTCTAGGATTTGGCATCTAGAAGCTTCAGCTGAAGTCTCGCAGAAGTCAGTCTTCGACTGCGGTTCAATGCCACATAGAAACCTTGAACCAAGAGGAATAGAGTTAGCGCTACTCGACACTGCGATTCTCGAAACTTGCACGATTTCGATGTAAAACATCTGAGAGAGGTCCGCAAGCGCTTGGAGACTGCAGCAAATCCACCGCGTGCCAACGTCAAGAGCCAGGCAGGAGATCTTCTTTGTGTGCGGTCATATGTGATGTTTCCGTACAGGCTGCTATCCTGTAGGAGAAATGTGTAGGCATGTGGAGAAGCCTCAAATCTGTGGTCTATGGGTCGTCTCAACTCGCGGATTTCTGCAGCAATGTGCAGTGTGTGTGTGTGTGGGCCATTTCTAGGTGCTAGACAACTTGTCATTTCATTGGCGCTGTCTTATCCGGCTCTGAGGCTCAGTTAGAATTCTGTGTGTACCTCGCTGACACCCCACAGCTTCTGACACTCCTGTGACCACATGCTCGTTGGTAACTAGTCTTGAGGGTGACCCGAAGCCGAAACTTCCTTAAAGCCTGAAGCAACCCAATGCCTGCCGCATACACACTTGGGAGTTTCCGAAAATAGGGGACCCTGATATAATACCTTAAATAGTAGGATCCTTATTATAAGGCTCCCAAAATGAGGTACCTCGAATTTTCGGAAACTCCCACTTGGCATTCAGGTTGTACTGCGCTGAGACTCTTGCCGAACAAGCTGCTCTGAGCGGAATTCCAAACTCAAGTGCTGAAGCAGCGCTGTTTTGCTAGGAGTGATTCAGTGTTGCACTGTCGGCCATCTCTGCTGTGCTAGAACGAAATGCCCTATCCATTGCAATCGTTGCAGACCCATTCGGACAGAAGCGTAGCAGTTCTGATGCATGGAAACTTCATGGAACTCCTTTCGTTGCAGTAGCTTGCTTTCGAAGCGGGTTGCTTAGGTTGCCGGAGGGCGCAACATTGCAACCAGAGAGGTCCGACTCTAGAAACGGCAGGCTGGTAAGGAAGTTGCTACATTCCATCACTGCTGCACACTAATCTCATATCTTGCACGCTAAAGCTACGCTTTAGGTTGCGAGCCCTGCGAGGTTGTATTGCAGCATGTTTCCAAGGTGCATAAACACAGGGGAACTTGGAGATCCTTACACATTGACCACCCCGAAAGTACACGACATTCCGTAGTTTAGATAATGCAGGCTTTTGAGTTTGGAATTGCGCAAGCTCCGGAGATTCAATGTTTCCTCCAGGCTGACCGGAAACTGCACAGCCTTGAAGTGACGAGAGAAACCTGTGGATTTGGGCCTTAGGGTTTAGAGGTTTAGAGTTTAGATGCATGTCCGGTCTTTCAGTGGATCTCCGGAGCAGAGCAGGCTTTCCAGTATGCTAGGCACTGGTCCTGGCATAAGTCTGTAAATTACGAGACTTCCGCTGCAGTCCAAGAACTGTAGAAGCAGTGTGCTGCGGGAAACATCGAAGCTCGTTCTTTGGCCTTCCAGCCAATCACATTGGTCGTGACATTTCCATCCTGTGTCAAAGTATCGTCTCCCCGCGAGGTTGGTGCAACCGCAGCAGGGACTGCAACCAAAAGGGCACACACAGCTTGGAGAGTTGTTGTGCCAAATACTTCTCAGGCCATGCTTTGGTTCTCGGGCAGCGTTGATGAATGATCGAGACATGTTTTTCTCTAAGAAACCCTAACCCCTCAACTCTCCGCAAGCACAAGTCCCTAACCTCTAAGCCTGAATCATTAACACTACTCCCTGATTTTTTTCGCTGTTGCTTGGGATTGCGAGCTCCGAAATCATGCTTCTGTTTCGTTCGACCTTTGTAAACATTGAGCGAGGGTATGGATAGAGCAGCCGCGTTCTACGATCGTTACTATCGCAGAATCGATAGACGTCGTAATCTCGCAGGTTGATTTCAAACAACAAAGCCAGGGGGGGCACTCCCCTGGTATTTGCATGGCCTGGCGGTGGTGATTTGAACTCTGGCGATCCAGGCGCGGCCTGTGATCGGATTACGATTCGGAAAGCGCATATCACTGACCTTCCTTTAGCGGTGCCCTTACCCCAAGAAGAGCAGCTCGGGAGCAAAGAGTGTAGAGCACAGAAACCCTCATGTTTGAGCAGGCGAACATGACTCGGAGGTTTGAGGTTTAGGGTGCAGGATTTAAGGTTTAGGTAGGGTTTGGGGTTTAGGGTGTCGGGTATAGGTAGGGTTTAGGCATGATACTAAGCCAAATGATGGTCGACAGTCTGGCAGAAGCTGGGCACTGGTGCGAGTACTGAACAGCTTCATCCACTGCTCGTGACGTTGGTTTTGTATTACTCATCAGTAACCTTCTTTGCTTAGCTTACAGGTTACCATTTGTGGGTTTATTCCTTGATTTCAGCAGTCGTGGGCTCTCTGGGAGTCAACCCTGGAGTTTCAGCGACAGGGAAGAGAAGAGACATGTTCAGAGATGTGTCATGTTACCAGGGCCTGTCAGTGCAGTTTTTCGAAGATGCTTTTTCTGAGAGATCCCAGCTCGACACTCCTCGCAGGAGGTGAAAACCTCTGTTGTGCCAGCGGTTGAACCAGCTTTTTCGGGTCAAAGCAGAGAACATGAACCATGGTAAGTTTCAGGCAACTCAATATCGCTTCTTATGGGTTCTAACATTACAGTTTATAACTTTTGACCAACGCTTCTCTCGTATTGAGCTGATAGACCTCCAACAACGATCTTGGGCTTTGATACAGCCATCAGGCAACAAGTTTCGGTGTTCAACCCAACACGTGTAGAAGCTGGTGGTGTTTCGTGTTGATT